AGAGAGGAGGGGACGGGGGAGAAAAAAAATACCTACCGTAGCAGGGGTCTCCAACCTTGGCCACTTGAAGACTCGTGGACTTCAACTCCCAGAATTCCTTCTCCAGTCGCGTTAGTTCAAGCATTCTGGGAGTTGAAGTCCACAAGTCTTTAAACTAGCCAAGTTTGAAGGCCCTTGTTTGAAGATCCAATGTTTCTCCTCTTTGGCTACTTTAAGACATGTGGACTTCAACTCCCAGAATTCCCCAGCAAGCATGCTGAGTTGAAATCCACAAGTCTTAAAGCGGCCAAGGTTGGAGACCCCTGCCACCATAGCATATGCATTATCAAAACTCGGGCAGTTTACCCTATCAAAAAAAAAAAAAAAAAAGAAGCCATGATAAGCCCTTTGGGGAATCCCCTGGTCTCAAAAGAATTATGCAGCCACTTCCTGCGGGATTCGGAAGCGACAGGTTGTCTCCTTCCCTGCCTTTCAAATATCTCCGCTCCCCTTTCCACAATTGCTTCCTGTGGTAGCGGGCTGAACAAGGGAGACTGACTCCCCATCACCACATCTCTATACAGAGACGGAATCTGTCCCGCTCCGCTTTTGCTTCCCCTCCCAAAAATCCCTTTCTTTGGATTCGTACACTTTTTACGCAAAGTGGAAAGTCTAGCCGCTTTGGCCCAATCGGACAAATGGACTGCCGATTGTGAGGCAAATGCTATTGCAACCAGAATGGAGCGGGTGGGTATGTGGGAGGGTGCTGGAAGGAAGATGCACAAGGCCCGACTTCCTTCGTCCTGCTTCTTTGATGGAACCTGTAAAGAATAAGTAGTCCACGCGTCGGCTTGTTCCAACCTTTCGCGGCCATTCGAGCTTGCCTTCACCTTTTGAGATTCTTTGAAGAATAGAAAGGGATCCTTCTAGACTAAGGGCCTTCCCAGGCAATCCGTAATGAGGTTGGGGGTTGTGTGTAGACAACTGTTTGCAAACCCACTTGGGAAGAAGAAAGCATTCCTCTGAGGGGTTTTAATTCCCAGGATGGTGGGGGTGAGGGGGATGAAAAAGGGAGAACTTCACTCCATCATATATAGCATTTAACCCCTTTCTGCCTCTCCTATGCATTCAGCAAGCAAAGCCACCCACCCAAAACCAGTCTCTCTCTCTCTCTCTCTCTCCCTCCCTCTCTCTCTACCTCTTCCCCCCACATTACCCCCCCCCCCAATATCAAAGTCCTTTTGTTCTGTTCTTTAGATTTTTTTTTTTTTAGTACAGGTTAAGCTCAGCGGGGTCCAGCCAGTTATACACTGAGTAACCAGAAGAAAAAGAAGATGGCAATGAAAAGAAATAACGAATCCTGCCAGCTGGATGGTCTGGGCGCATCTGTATCTGCAGAAAGGAAGAAGAAGAAGAAGAAGAAAAAGAAGAGTTAGCTAAAGTGAAATCCAAAAGCAAGTTGGCCGGCATTTGAACGACCGGTTTAAACGCTGAACTGCTCACTGATGCCGTCGTAGCTCTTTGCGACCGGTTGCTAACCAAGGACTGTCCACCCGTCCCAATTCCTCTGCTCCCGCCTGGGGCTCCGTGAGCGGATAGTTCAAACGCCACCGATGAACTTTGGCTACATCAAGGGCTACGCTTGGAGCCCATTCCCGTGGATCTTATCTCTCTCCCTCTCTCCAGAATATGCGCCCCTGGGCTATGCGTTGTATTTATAGGGTGCTTGGCTTTTAGTTGTTAATTAGGGTTTAACGGGCCATCAACAACCCAATTAACAATTAGAAGCCTGTCAGATCTGCTTCACTTCACTTCGCTTGGATGGCAGCCTGCCATAAAAATATGGGGAGGGGGAACGGGAAGATACGGAAGGGCGGGGGAGGGAATGACAGGAACTAGAGGTGCCATTCAGAGACAACGGTTAAAAAGATCCAAGGACGCAGCCTGGGGATGGAATGCGAAACGCCCATCCAAAGAGGCGCCAAAAAGTTACACCAAAACATCTCACGTGAGCCTTATTCAACATCACCAAGATGACCAAAGCGGAGAGGGTTTTTTTTGGGAAAGGTAAAATGACTGGGATTACATAGGAAATCCTCAGATCTGGCTTTGCCGTGCTTTAACCACCTGGCTTCAGTAAAAGTCCCAAAGGTGCTTTGTTTTTGTTTTTTTTTTCCCAAGAGGCAACCGGCCTTTGTGTTTTATTTTTCTTTGAAGACGTTTCACTTCTCCCCCAAGAAGCTTTTTCACCTCTGACTGGATGGTGGGGGGATGGAAGGATTTATACTCCTTGCAGATAGCTGGTGATTTGCGTTCTTTCAGCAAGTTGTTAAGGCCACCTGGAGGTTCATCTATATTGTCAAGTTCACTTGAGTGGTACAAATGGGTATGGAGCCTTCTTGGAACTGCTGAAAGCACCATGTTGTAGACTGTAGATGATGTCATATCCCCCCTCACCCTGTGGAGAGGGGGTTGTTCAATTTTGACATATGTGGCCTCTTTGACCCCTCTTTCAAACCAGCGGTCCTTTCTGTCTACAATGTGGACTTTGCCGTCTTTAAAAGAGTGGCCTTTGTCTTTTAAATGCAGATGGATTGCTGAATCCTGACGGGTTTGTTCTCCTGTGTAAGTGCTATGCATTTATGAAGTGGTTGTTTTGTTTCCCCAACATACATGTCCTGCCCTTGTTGGGGTCTGATTCTGAGGGGGAGATTGAGCAGCTGACAGGGAGTGGGAGTGTGGCTCCGGTGGAAGAAACGGGGGAAGGGCACAGTCCGGCTGGGCATTCAGTCAAAGGCCCAGGGCCACCCCCTCTTCATCCTAGGGTAGGGGTTCCCAACCACCAGGCTGCGGACCGGTACCGGTCCATGGAACATTTCCTACCGGGCCGCCGGTTTGCTGGGCGCCGCCATCTTGTTTGACGAGAAAGTGCTTCCGGGTGAGCTTTTCCGGTTGGAAAGCGGCGTTTGGGTCCTGAAGGAATCCTCGCGCCTTAGTTTCATCGAAGGGGGGGGGCTTCGAACGAAACTAAGGCGCAAGGATTCTTTCAGCACCCAAGGCAAGGCAAGCCGAGCGACCGTCCCGAAGCAAAGCCCATTGACAAAGGTACAAAGGAGGAGTTGCAGATGGCGGGGAGAAGTGGGGGAAAGCTGGCTGGCCGGTCGCTCGGCTCGCCTTGCCTTGTCATGCGTGCTGATTCCGGGCCGTGGATCATTTTGTGATGCCGGTACCGGGCCGTGGCACAAAAAAGGTTGGGGGCCACTGTCCTAGGGGACGCAGGAAGGAACGGAGAAGGGAGCAACATGGCTTGTGGGAGAGGAAAGGGCCCTGATCCCTTTCATTAGTTGCAGCTGAAGGAACAGGATATAAGAAGGGCGTTTGCACACAGCACCTTGCTGGAAGCAAAGCGTGCATTATCTTTGTCGAGGTTAATCTTGGTTTTGGTGTCCTCCCAACTACGTGTGCTTTGTTATCCTTTGGAAGTCTGCAATTTATCATACTGGCCTATTGTGTTAATTACTTCAGGATGGTTTGTGTTGGTTTTGTTATTTCCAATTTATCTTTGCTTTGGGTTCGGATTGCATTTCTTTCCTTTGTAAACTGTTTTTGGGAGAGTTTTTTCTCCAGCCGATGATAACTGGACATTGGGGGCCAAGTTGGAGGTATTAAAGGGAATTTATCTGTTTTTGTGACTTTGTTGCTTTTGTGCCACGCCCCGGGTCATCACAGTACAGATCTGCACAAGGCTCATTGCACTGTACTGCATGTACCACGTTGCTCACTTTGTGACTGGGTGCTTTATCCTAGGGGTGGACAAGCTTCTGGGTTGGTGTATTATTGGGTTTGAAGTGTGCCCATACGTTGTGCTAGCTGAAGATCCTCCTGAGCTTTTCTGATAATCCTTTGAAATGTCTTCCAATATTCCTTTAAAACATCTTCAAAGAAAAACCATAAAGTCCAGTTGTCTTGTGATGACCCAGGGTGGGATATCAAACAAACAAACACAGTCACAGAAAACTGGTGAAACCCCTTTTATTCCTTCACTTTGCTTCCCAGCTCTGAATATTCTTGACGGAAGATAAAAAAACTCCCACGCAAACAGTTACAAGAAGAAGGGAAAAGGCAACACAAACCAAGCAAGATAAGGGCTGGAGGAAGTCCACAGATAACACACACTGGGAAGGACGCCAGACTTAGAGAGGAACTATAAACTAGAGATATTTCAATGCTTTGTTTCCAGTGTTCGTCGTACGCAAGTCCATCCTCTTATTCAGTTGTCACAGCTGCAGCCCATGAAGAGGATCAAGGCCCTCTCCTCCCGAGCAGACCACGTCTCTCCCTTATCCTCTCCTCTCTGCATGCCCTAGGATGGACAGGGTATGGGCCTGGGTCCTCCTCTGACTGCTCAGCCGGCCTCTGCCCTTCCCCAGCCTCTTCCCCAACCTCCGGAGCTACACTTCCACTCCCTGTCGGCTGTTCCTCCTCTCCCTCAGAGACAGTCTCCACCAGGGGCATGATATGTCTCTTGAAAAAAACACCTTTGGGACAACCATGACCCGGATGACTGAGAATCTCCACAGACCTTCAGTTAAAAGAATACTTTTCACTATAAATGGAGTCGAGGGTCTTTCTTTCCTGAATATCCAATCTGGGACAGGTCTGACAAAGCCACACACAACCAGGCACCATATAAATACAACATGGAGCCCAGGGCTCACATTCTGGAGAAAGAGACGTTCCCTGAGGATGGGCCCCAGCACAAGCCTAAAAGCTTGGAAGAATGGAGTCTCAGTAGAAAAATACGGTCATAGGGAATTCTAGCTGAGGACTGAGTAGAAACTGGGAGAAGTTACCCAGAGTGGGCGGAGCTAGGCTAATAAGCCTTTTACACAGACTCAGTCCTAAAGAAGAGAACCACCCATCCTGACCTGTCGCAGCCTTACAAGGGGGAACCCCAAAATTCTCTAAGCACCCAACCCCCCTCCCCCCTTCACAGCAGGACCTTACCTGCTCTTTCTCCTGGAGCACTGTAGCCCGTAGCAAAAAAGCCAAAAGGGAAGGCGCCAATGCCAAATGCCATGTGGAAGCCTGTGGCTGCTTCAGGGAAACTGCCGATGCCCTGCTGGGGTGGAGAAAGGGAGAAGAAAAAGGAGAAGGAGGAAGGTGGGGCGGGGGGCGTGTTGCAGATGAACCAAGTTAGTCCCGCAGAAGAACCAAGTTAGTCCAGGATGAATTTGGGAAGGGGAGTTAGAAGCAGGCAACACTCACCCCTCGCGACTCAGGCTCCGGGCGCTGCCCTCGAGGTCTGGGAGGAGTTTTCAATCTGCATGATGGAGAAAAAAGGCAGGATTATGCCCCTCCCGCCTCAGTCCTGCAGCTTCTCATACCCTCCAGTCTTTGGATTAGTCCAATACATCCTAGCCAGCAAAGGAATATATATATATCCCTGCTCCAAAGCGTTTTACAAATTACGACCAATAAAAGAGCATTTTTTTTGTAGTTCAGAGCTGCTGAGGGGATCTGAACTTGGTTTTTTCCGTGCAGATGTAAACAGAGAGCACACCTTGGTCCTTGCTAGCCCTGAGGATGTTATCTTGTTGGTCTCCAAGAAGACAACAGCCAAACTCAGAGAGCCCCGAGGACCCCGCCAACCGCAAATTTACAGCAAAAGAAGGAGAAGGAAAACACGATTTATTTCCGTTTCTTTAAGTGGCAGCTGTGTTTGCAATGGTGTACAGGTAGTCCCAAAGGTGCTTTTTCAAGAGGCAACTGGACTTTCTGGCTTTCCTTTGACATTTCGCTTCCCATCCAAGAAGCTTCTTCAGTTCAGTAGTGAAGGGAGACAGGGATCAGAAAACATCCTGCAGAAAGCACAGCTCCAACTTCTCAATGAAAGAACAAGACAGATTAATTACACAATTGAAGTGTTGAAAGAGAGTAGAACACAAAGTCCAAGAGCTGAAAATCACTTTTACCCACAGAAGCATTGGAACAAGTCACACAATTTATAAGGCAAAACTAACACAGCACAGAGAGCTGAAGAAGCTTCTAGGATGAGAAGCGAAATGTCTTCAAAGAAAAACCAAAAAGTCCAGTTTGCCTCTTGAAAAAGCACCTTTGGAACAAGGATGACCTGGGTGACAAGGATGACCTGGATGACTCCATAGTAATCCTCAACCTACGCTCAAAATTTATGTTGCTAAGTGAAAAATTTATTGTGAATTTTGCCTCATTTTACGACTTTTCTCAGTACATTTGTGAAGTGAATCACCGCACTTAAATTAGGAACATGGTTAAGTGACTCTGGGTTTCCCCATTAACTTTGCTTTTCAGTAGGTCACAAAAGGAGATCACATGACTCCAGGACACTTTAACCTGGAGGTTTATCTGTGTCGTCCAGGTGGCCTCAACGACTCTCTACAAAGAATGCAAATGACCAACTGTCTGCAAGGAGTATAAATCCTTCCATTCCCCACCATCCACTCAGAGCCGAAGAAGCTTCTTGGGTGAAAAAATGAAACATCTTCAGAGAAAACCCAGAAAGTCCAGTTGCCTCTTGAAAAAAAAGCACCTTTGGGACACCAACGATCGTTTCTTCTTTGGCAACGTAACTTTAATGTAATTCATTCAATTTAATCATCCCAGATGGGCTACAAAATCCACGAAAAGAATTAAAACAGTTACAGGTAGGCCACGACTTAAAAGTGACCGTTCAAAGCTACAAATGGCACCGAAAAATAGTCGTATTTCAGGTATTCAAGACCACTGCAGCATCTCCATGGTCACATTATCAAAATTTGGACGCTTATCAGCTAGCGGAGTAAACTCCGCGGGGACTCCTTTACCTTTAACCTACTGAAAACACCGATAAAGGGGCACCTAATATCACATGTGGTGGACACACGTGAAAGCAAAGAAATACTGGACAAAAACACACACATGGTTAGAAAAAAATGTTAAAGCTACAAATCGATTATAAGCCAGAAATATTTTTTGTTAGCTATAATACCAGAAACGTATGAAAAGGGGAATTTGTATGTAATATTATGTGTTTTGATAGCAGCAAGGACTGTATTCGTACAGTATTGGAAAAAAGAGCAAATTCCAAGAGAAGAAGATGTAATTTAAAAAAAAATATTAGACTATGCAGAAATGGATAAAACTGACATTAAAGATAAAAGAAAAAGAAGACAGAGTATTTTTGATCATGGGACTTATTATATAAACGGTTGGAGAATAGAGGTAGAAATTAGGAGTGGGGAAAGTATTATTATGTAAGCAGATTGACCCGGACAATACAAAGCACTTATGTATTTTAAATGAAAACCTATAAATAAACTGTTAAAAAAAAAACCCCACTGATAAAGAAGGGAATCCTTTACCTGGGATCCTGCTGAGCAGAGCTCCCACGCCCGTAGAGAGGGATGACTTTGTCCCGACTGATGCCTGCCTTGCACACAGGACATTCCTGACGCTCCGGCTGAGTTTCTAGCCACTGAAGGGAAGAAGGACATTTATAATGGACGTACACAGAGAGCATATGCACCACAGACGAATTCCTTGTGTGTTGGACAATCAGCTCCTTGTGCTAATCAGGCTGCGCTGAAACTGACTAGGCTTTTTGCTGTTTGCTACAAGGAGGCAAATTGCTGGGAGGAAAAGGCAGATTTTTTCCCCCACTTGTTTTCCTCCCCAAAAGCTAGGTGCATCTTATACTTTGGAGCATCTTGTACTCTGAAAAATATAGTAGGTTATCGTCTCAGTTCAGTCCGGACTATAGTACAGGTAATCCTCAACTTATAACTACAATTTGGACTAGAATTTCTATTTAAGATGGTTGTCACAGCCGATTTTGCCACAATGAAGTGAATGGCCGCAGTTCTTAAGGGAATCGTGCGGTCGTTAAGCACACACACACACACACACACACACACACACACACCCTGTCACTTTGCTTTTCAGAAGCTGGCTGGGAAAGTTACAAACGGTGATCAGAGGATCCTTAACAGTTGTTAAGTAATTATTTAAATGCAATGGTAAAACCAAACCGTCACTAAACTTGTGGCGGTAAATTGAAGACTACCGGTATTTCCTCCTTCTCAGCTTTAAGAGCCAGGGTGGGAGAAAGTTGAATGTGCTAAGACTGGAAGTGAAGAGACCCAGATCCTGGTCTCTGTTCAGACACAGAACCTCCCTAGTGCTTTACAGTAGCGGCCTCTAACCTTTTGGGCACCAGGGACCGGTTCCGTGGAGACAGGTCTTTCCTTGGACCGGAGGGAGCCTGGTGTTGTGATCCAGCTCCCCAAACATGACAAACCCTCTGACGTCAACTCAAAATATTCCTTTATTAGGAATGGTGGCAGCCCCGGCAAAAAGTTTCTCTCACAGGCTAACAAGTCCGTCCGGCCAGAAAATGAATAGTTGCCTGCCACACCTATTCATCTCCATTTCCTGTCTTTTATCCCCAGAGCTAGGATGGGGCCTTGCTAACAGCGGTAGCTCTTCCTTCCCCAGTTTCTACTGGATTTCCACTGCTCTCCTCTTCTCTGCCTTAAGTGCATCCCCGCCTCAGGCACTGGACCCAGCTGTTCCTCCTCTTCTTCATCAGCCACCTCCAGATCTGTTGGCTGTTGACTCTCCATCTGAGGGCTGATGGACGGCTCAGGCTCCATCTCTGTCTCTGTCTCTGTCTCTCTGCCAGCACCATTCCCCTCTTGGATTCCCAGGTTGCCCTGATGTTGACCCTGACTCCCATGCCTCCTCCTCTGATTGGGCTGCTGGAGGGGCCAGCAGCTGACAGACCACGCCCACCTGGTTTCGTGTGCTGCCTGCATCCCGCAGATGGGGCTTCGCTTGTTGTTGTCAAAAATGCACGGCCCAGTGCCAGTCCACGGACCAGGGACTGGGGACCCCTGCTCTACAGGCTAGCACCTCTAGCCAGACTTATCTCACAGGGCTCTTCTGGGAGAAAAACACCTTGAGCTTCCAAATGGAAGGCAACATACAATCTAACTCAACTTACAACAGTTCATTTAGTGACCGTTCAAAGTTACCACGGCAATGAAAAAAGCACCAAATGTTTTTCACACAAACGACCATTGTAACACACACACACACACACACACACGGAACATGTGATCAAAATTCAGATGCTTGGCAAACTGATTCACACTTATGACTGTAGCTGTGTCCCAAGGTCATGTGGTTCCCTTTTGCAGCCTCCTGACAAGCAAAATCAATGGGGAAGCCAGATTCACTTAACAACCGTATTACTAACGTATCAGCTACAGTGAGCCACCTAACAACTGTGGCAAGAAAAGCTACAAAATGGAGCAAAACTCACTTAACAAATGTCTTACTTAACAACAAAAATATTGGGCTCAATTTTGGTCGTAAGTCGTGGACTATCTGTAATTCCAGTGCTCTGGAACAGGTCCACTGTTCCTTTCCCTAAGTAATTCCACAGCAGGAACTTAAGAAAGCTTTGAAAGCATTTGGCAATAGACCACATTAGCACAATGGGAGAGTAGGGAAAGAACCAGCAAATTGTGAGGAGCACAGTGAAAGTTTACATTAACTTATCAGTTATCATTAGGCTGCAGAAGATGTAAAACATTTCTAGGACAATTCAGGAAAAGGCTGGCTTTGAAATTTTGCAGTCATACTTTCAAGGCTGGACCAATGAGATTTCAGATTTACTTTTCTTGGTTTAGCTGTTATTTCAACTAAACATTAACTTGTTTTAAGTGGGATTTTAATTGTCTAGTTTGTAACAGCACTAGCACTTCGACTTACAGTGCTTAGAATCACAGTGCTTTACAGCCCCCTCTAAGCGGTTTGTAGAGTCACCATATTGTCCCCCAACAATCTGGGTTCTCATTTTACAAATCTCGGAAGGATAGAAGCTGAGTCAACTTTGAGCCGGGGTCAGAATCGAACTGCTGAAAGTTGGGCAGAATTAACCAGCAGTACAGCATTCTAACCACTGCGCCACCATGGCTCTACTGGAATTGCTTATTGTTATCCTCAATCTAATATAATTTTTGAAGCTATGCAAGAAATCCGGCCCATCTGTACTTCAGCCAAGGAGAGATTCACTTCAAGGACAGTTGCTCCGATTAAAAAATGCTTTACTAAGAGAGTCCAAAGGTCCACAGCAGTCAGTCAGATGCCTATCCAAGAACTGAAAACAAGCAGAGGTAACCTTCATCAATCGCTATAGTCATCTTCTTCAATGTTGGTTATACTGTATGTACAACCACTTGACCACACAAGAAACCATCATACTGACCAGTTACAGAAAAAGTCCTCCAGATTCTCATAAGAATGATCGTTATTCACCTGTTCAAGCTAAGGCAGTTAAGTCCTTGACTTTAAACAGTTCGTTTAATGTACAATGGCACTGAAAAAAAGTGACTTATGATCATTTTTCACACTTACAACCCTTGCAGCATCTCTATGGTCACGTGAGCAAAATTCAGATGTTTTGCAACTGACTCATATTTATGACGGTTGCTGTGTTCTCTTCCGTATTGATTGGAAACTGTTGTGGCCCGCCAGACTCGGACAGTGAGGAGGTTGGGGAGGAACACGGGCCAGTCCCGGAGTCTGGGGAAGGCGCTGATGAGTCTTCTGCATCAGAGGCAGAGATGGGACCAAGGCCGTCTGACAGTTATCAGCTGCCTTTGGAATTAGACATTAGCGGGGCAGAAGAACAGCGGGAGCCTGTTCCCGATGTGCACATGTGCAGAGCTGCCAGGAGAAGGGAACAGTTAAGGAACAAGGGTCGACTCGGGAGTAAAGAGGAGCGAAAAGGGGGAGTGGTGTTTGCAGGAGACAATTCATTGGTTTTATTACTGTGAAGATTTTCTCAGAAACTCTTCGCTAAGTATTTCCTTGTACAGCTTTGTGCTTGGGAGCTATTGGCCTGGCAGCTCTCCAAAGCCTAATAAGGTCTGTAATCCTAATTCACCCTTGAGAGACTGTTTGCCCGGGACTTTGCTGGATGTGAATGAGGGGAATTCACATTAGCCTAATAAAAAGGGACAAGGAATCTGCTTCGTGATTTTGTGAAACCTAGCTCAGAACAGAAACATGCAGAAGAGGTTCTTCATCCTCCAATGAATAGACAAAGGCTAAAAAGGATGATAATGAAATTTAGTGTCTGGTGTGTGTGTGTGTGTGTGTGTGTGTGTGTGTGTGTGTGTGTGATGTGATTCCTCCTCCGACAAGCAAAATCAAGGGGGAAGCCAGATTCATTTAACAACCAGGTTCCTAATTTAACTGCAGGGATTCACATCACAACTGTGGGAAGAATGGCGATAAAAAGGGGCACGACTCACTTAAACAACTGTCTCGCTTCGCCAAAGAAATATTGGGCTCAACTGTGGTCATAAGTCAAAGACTGCCTGTAGTTTTCCTGAACATATGACCATAATTGAACCCAGAATCACGGTTGTAAGTTGTGCTGGTCGTTAAGCGGGTCACAGATAAGATTTTACAACCGCTTGGCAGCAATCATTACGCAAATGCAACAATTGCAAAGGGAGCCATTGTATGCAATGAGTCTTTTTTTGTGTGCTAGAGACAGGAAGTAAATTGAAGTCATATAAATGTGGGACTCTGAAAACAATCCTACGTGTGGGCTGGTTGCTCAGTACCCTAAATGCAATCATAGGATCACTGCAGGGGGGAAGGGAGAGGGGGCAGCTGTCAGTACTTCAAAACTGGGTCATAAGTACTGGTAGTCCTCAACTTATGATCACAACTGAGCCCAAATTTTCTGTTGTTAAGTCAGACATTTGTTCAGTGAGTTTTGTCCCATTTTAGAATAGAATAGAAGAACAGAATTCTTTTATTGGTCAAGCGTGACTGGACACACAAGGAATTTGTCTTGGTGCAAATGCTCTCAGTGTACGTAAAAGAAAAGATACATTCGTCGAGGGTCGATAATCATAAGGTACGACACTTCATGACAGACATAGGGTACAAATAAGCAATCAAAGCATACTAGGAAAGAGCCAATATAGATCGTAAGGATACAAGCAACAAAGTTACAGTCATGCAGTCACAAGTGGAAGGGCGACGACACTATAGTGGGCGATAAGGAGTGATAAGATTAATAGTAGTGCAGACTTTGTAAATAGCTGGACAGTGTTGAGGGAATTATTTGTTTAGCAGAGTGATGGCATTCGGGGAAAAACTGTCCTTGTGTCTGGTTGTTCTGGTGTGCAGTGCTCTATAGCTGTGATGGTGAACCTGTGGCACGCAGAGCCATTTGTGCCGGCACGCGAGCTGCAGGCAATCTTACCTCACAGTGCATGTGTGTGCCTCACAGCTGGTTTTCAGCTGGTTTGAGGCCTTTTTTGGCCTCCCAGAGGCTTGAGGAAGGCTTCTGCAGGCTTTGCAGGCCGAAAACCAGCCCCATTTCATCACTTCCTGTTTTTCCGAAAATACCGGAAGAGACGAAATGGGGCTAGTTTTCGGCCTGCAAAAGCCTGCAGAAGCCTTCCTCAAGACTCTGGGAGGCCAAACAAGGCCTCAAACTGGCCGAAAATCAGCTGTGAGGCGCAGTGCAGGTAAGGGGGTGGGGGTACGGATTGCGCATGCATGAGTAGGGGGCGCATGCATTGCCTTCTGGGTGCTGGCACGTGAGCATGATCGTGCAAGCACACACATGCAATTTTTGGCACAGGAGCCCCAAAAGGTTAGCTACCACTGCTCTATAGCGTCGTTTTGAGGGTAGGAGTTAAAACAATTTATGTCCATGATGTGAGGGGTCTGTAAATATTTTCATTATTTCATTTCAATATTGTCTTTCTGACTTGTGCAGTATACAGGTCCTCAAGGGAAGGCAGGTGGGTAGCAATTGTTTTTTCTGTAGTCCTAATTATCCTCCGAAGTCTGTGTCTGTCCTGTTGGGTTGCAGAACCAAACCAGACAATTATAGAGGTGCAGATGATAGACTTAATAATTCCTCTGTGGAACTGCATCAGACTATCTGTAGATAAGCTCATTCAGAATGTACATAGAAAAACAGTTGTGACAAGTTGTCTATTTACAGGGGAAAGCGTTCCTCTAGCACTAAAAAGTTAGTGATAAGTTAGGAACACGGTTGTTAAGTGAATCTGGCTTTCTCATTGACTTCGCTTGTCAGAGGGTCGCAAAAGGGGATTCCCATGACCTTCTGGGAGACAATAACCGTCACAAATACGAACCAGTCGGCAGCAGCTGAATCTTGATCCCATGATTGGGGGGGTGGGGGTGTTTCCTGCAAAGGTTGCAGCTGTGAAAAACTGTCATTAAGTCACATTTTTCAGTGCCATTGAAACTTTGAACAGTCACTAAATGAACTGTTGTAAGTCGAGGACTACCTGTACCTTTGTGGTGACCCAGGATGGGATACAAAATAAACACCGTTACAAAAAAAACAGGTGAAGGCCCTTTTATTCCTTCACTTTGCTTCCAAGCTCCACATATCCTTGGAGACAAAAAAAACTCACACACACAAAGAGTTACAAAAAGGAGGAAATGCCGTTTAAATTATAAAGAGCGACACAAACCAGGCAAGATAAGGGCTTGAAGACGTTTTCCACAGACATCAGAACACACACTGGGAAGGACGCCACTCAGAGAGGAACAATAAACTAGAGATATTTCCATGCTTTGTTTCCAGCACTCGCCTGTATGCATGTCTGTCCTCTTATCCAGTTGTCACAGCTGCAGCCCATGAAGAGGATCAAGGCCCTCTCCTCCCCAGTAGACCACGTCTCTCCCTTATCCTCTCCTCCCTGCGTGCCCTAGGATGGAGAGGGGATGGGCCTGGGTCTTCCTCTGACTGCTCAGCCGGCCTCTGCCCTTCCCCAGCCTCCTCCACCACCTCGGGAGCCACACTTCCACTCCCCGTTGGCTGTTCCTCCTCTCCCTCAGAGTCAGTCACCACCAGGGGCATGGCAACCTTTTTCCAGATTCACTGTAACTCTGAATGCTCACTAAGTAACTGGTTGTAAGTTGAGGACTATCTGCATTCACTCCACAGATTACTTTTTGTCTAGGAATACCAGATTTTTTTCCAGATCTTACCTGGAAAACCAACACAACCCAGCCACAGCCACAAAGGCCCAACAGAGACTCCATTTCCTCAGGGTCTTGCGAAAGAATAAAGTGGAACAACGACTGATGACCTCCTTTTACTAGTCCACAATAGAAAGCGTCCTCACATACTGCGTTACGGTGTGGTATGCTGGCTTGATAGCCGCAGAGAGAAAGACATTACAGAGCGGGGTGAGCACAGCACAAAACATTGTGGGCTGTTCCCTGATACCATTAGATGACTTCACTAGGGCTCACCGCCTTAGCAGAGTGAGGAAAAGTTTCAGGGATAAGTCACACCCCAGTCAGCACTTCTTCACTCTCCTACCATCAGGTAGGAGATATAGAAGCATAATAGCCAGCCGCACCAACAGGCTGAAGAACAGTTTCTACCCGTGGGCGGTCAGACTTCTGAACGGAAAATAACTTCATGTCAACATAGTAGGATAGACTTGTGGGGGCGGCGTGTTGTTCAACAAGGTCACATAATGTAATAAGATTGGGACTGGGTTAGGGATCACTGTCCTCACTGTGAGTTGTGTTGGGGTGGATGCACAAAGGGAAGCTCAGCCAATCTCATTATACACATGTACTCTGTCAATAAAGGTAATAATAATCATTTGTCCAATATTAGGCTACCCTTAGCTGACCTGGTATCATCAAAATAATTTCAGACTATATCACCCATAATCCCCAGCTACTAACTATACTGTCCTCAACCAGTAACTATGATGCCTAAGATTTCTGGAAAACTGTAGATGTTAGTATATCTGGAAGAGATACATCAGGGAACATTAATTAAGCATTTCAACTCCAGTCAATCTTATAGTCCAGTGTCCAAATAAACAGAGCAACTCACCTGGTGTAGGCAAGGCCAGCTGCAAAAAGAGAAGAAAAAGTACAAGACCTTTTAAAAGAAATCTGGATCGAACCAACATGAAATATACATGCCGAATCAGGGTTTTGATGGGCACACAGAAATCAACACTTGTAGGCAGCTACACAAATTTAATAATCGATACACGATGTAAATACAGATAGTCCTAAAGTACAATCACAGCTGAGCCCAAAATTTTTGTTGCTAGGCGAGACAGTTAAGTTGAATTTTGCCCCATTTTACATCCTTTCTTGCCACCGTTAAGTGAATCACTGCAATTGTTAAGTTAGCCACACGGTCATTTAAGTGAATCTGGCTTCCCCATTGACTTTGCTTGTCAGGTGGTCGCAAAGGGGATCATATGACCCCGGGACACTGCAACCGTCATAAATATGAACCAATTGCCAAACATCTGAATTTTGAGCCCGACCATGGGGATGCTGCAACGGGTTGTAAGTGTGAAAAACAGTCCTAAGTCCACTTTTTTTCAGTGCAGTTGTAACTTCAAACAGTCACTAAATGAATGATTGTAAGTCGAGGACTATCTGTAAAGTCAATCATAAATCTAAGTGAAAAAAACACCACTGCTGGGTTTCTTCAATTGATTATTTACTCCGGCATATAAATCAAGGTGTACCCTGGGGTGATTTGGGGGGGGATTGTTACCCCACTTGTAAGGCCACAAACTTGTAAGGCCACAAACTACACAAATCAGCTTAGTGTAATGAAACCAGCTTGACAATATTGTGAGTTGCTGGTGGCCTTTGGGTCCTCCAGACCAGCAGTCACTAACCTTTCTAAAAGACCACTAAATTCATAATTTTAAATCCCGCAGACCATTAATATGATCTGGCTAATGACTGGCTAGGTGGTCATGTGACTGGGTGGGCATGGCCAACTTGATGCCACTCATGTCAAGGGGCGCCTCACCAGCCTCTCCTCACCTGCCTGGGCTCCTTAGGGCCCCAACAGGAAGCAGTTGTTGGAGCTAAACAGCCACCACGAAAAAAAGAGTTGGCAACACTGCTGGCTCAGTTTAAATTGGATCTGACCAAGAAGGAGGCTCAGCAGAAGCCCCTCACTGAGGACTAGGAGCATAGGCTTTCCAAGCACAGGGAAGACCTGCAGGTGTGCAAGGCCAGGTACCGGTGCCTGGAGGCTCAGCGGGCTGAGATGGTCAGCCAGTTCCAGGCCATGATGCAGTCCCACTGGAACGAAGCCCTCTGGCTCTTCGCCACCAGCAGCGTTTCCTTCCAACCTTTGCCCAAAGCCCTGAAACCAGGGGGCTGAAGCGGACCCCAAATAGGAATTTCTGCCCCTCCTCCGACCCACACAAAAAGACCCCAAAGGGGCCGTAGTTTGAGGACCCCTGATTTAATGCAATATAAAAAATGCAAAGAATTTTTCTGCAGACAACCAAAATTTTCTCACAGACCACCAATTGGTGACCGCTGTTGCAGACCCTCCTTCCAGCCTGGTGGGACAACCAAAGGGCTCCAGTGGCGGGAAATGATGGGGGGGGCTACCCCCCCCCCCCCCCGCAACCCCCCCCCCCCTGCTCTCTAACCACTAAACCACACTTTTCTATTAGACCTGCCCCAGGGGTCTTCAAACTTGGCAGGTTTAAGACTTGTGGACTTCAACTCCCAGAATTCCTCCTCTAGTCATCTTAGCTCAGGAATTCTGGGAGTTGAAGTCCACAAGTCTTAAACCTGCCAAGTTTTGAAGACCCTTGGCTTACATCCTCAAATGTGGCCAACCAAGCAACCCAAAGGCGGCTGTTGGAGCTTCTTTGGAGGGAATGGAAATAAAGCAAAAGAGAAGAAGCGCAGTTTCACCTGCTGGATTTCGGCCTGTCCCACCTTTTTAATTTTATTTTAATTTTTATTAAATCAGCCTCTTGGTTCTCCCCTTCCCTGTGCCACACCTCTCTGTACCTTTTCCCTCGCTCACCAGTAGAGGTGGCCGCACAGGCCGATGACAGCTTCTCTGGCAGGCTCCAGGCAGATGTTGCATTCAAAAGCACTGCGATCGCGGTTTGACCCCTCCGGCTCCCCATCTGGGACCCCTGGACCTGTCCCAGCTGCTGCCGCCGCCGCCATCTTCCGCCCTGACGTGAAGGGGTGGGAGAGATAAATGTAAACGCCTGCTGTTTAATCATTGGCCCTTCTCGCCGTCCGTCGCACTCTTGTAGACATTTCATTGGTGGCCAAGATAATTATTTGGGGGCACCTGGCAAAGCTGACGTTCCACTTGGTCCCGCCTTCTATTCTGTGCAGGCTCTTAAAACTTTTTTGATTGGGTGACACTTGGGTGTCGAATACGCGACTACATTATTGGTTGAAACGCCGTACTCCCCCCCCCCCCCGCCAACACACAGAGACCTTAGTTCCCTGAACAAAATAACATGTCATATGACTGTGGGCGGGGGAAGGAATCAAGGGGCGCGTCATGATTGACAGAAACGCCAGCCTCTCCAAGAACAAAATGACCGAAAGGTTGTGGTGGAAAGGGAGGAAAAAAAGTCTTCGCTTTCTTTCAAAACCCGCCCACTAAAAAGCGCGTGGCTATGGGACATAGCCTTGGACTTAAGGCTGGACCTGTCCTGATTGACGCATAAGTTAACCAATAACAATTCAAGAAACCTTGGCTTCAAAAGAGAGGCACATGCGCGGAGCTTGATGAAGTGTTGAAGCTTGTTCTTTGTAAGCGCGGGACAGAAAGCCAAATAGGCAACAAGATCGAATCCCGCTATTCTGTTACTATGGCAACTGCCCAACTGTATTCCTATCTTGCGGTCAATCTAGGTTTCTCGCCATAGGCTTCCTGATCCAGGCTTCAGTCGTAAAGCAAGTGGCTACCACAGTTACCGAACAGCCATGAAACATACACTTAGGCAAGAAAAACCAAAAGTACACATATAGACTGGGTGAAACCAAGCTTAATAGTAGTAGTTGCAAGAGGGATCTTGGAGCCTTAGTGGACAACCCATTAAATATAAGCCAACCTGAGCAGCGGCAACCAAAAAGCCAATGCAATCCTAAACTGCATTAACAGAGATACAATCAAGATCAAGGGAGGCTGTAATACCACTCTATAAAGCCTTAGTAAGACCAAACCTAAAATGCTGCATCCAGTTTTGGTCACCACACTGTTGGAAGAAAAATCCTTCTGGGTTCAGTTCCAAGTGGGGAAAAAGACACTGGAAACATGGAGGCTGTTTGGAAAGATGATTTAATGGTGGACAGGAGCACATGGCTTGGAGCTCCAAAGTGAAAAGGATGATCACATGCTTCAAGGTCAAAAGAGAAAAAGGGAGGACCAAGATGCTGAGAGACCCTAATATATCCTCTGTTGGGCCCTACCTTAAAGTTTCCTGTTCCTGTGTAAGAAATGTATCCCATTGGTTGTCAGACTCCCAGGGGCAGGGGTCTTAGTTAACTTGTAGGCTTGTCTGGACCATATGGTTTCACCTGAGTGCTGACTGATGGAATCTTCCTAGGCTGAGTGGTAAGATGGGCAGAGGCCTTTGTTATGTAGAATACTCTGACCTAGGACTTAATGGCCCACCCATTAACAAAGGTGAGGGGTGAGCTTCTGAGGTGAGTTCCTGCTTCTGAGTTTCTACTTCTCTTTTTAGGGAACATATTCTGCCTTTTTAATATTTCCTACGATATTTCATTTTTCTAGGAGAGGGGTGGGTGCTAATGTAGAAAGGTGTCAAAATGCCTTTCTTCCGAGGATTCGATTTTCCCGCTGGGAGAGCTCCGGCGCAAGGATATGGACAACTGCTTGAAAACTGGATCTTTTTATTTTTCAGGAAGGCGGTGGACAGCGAGAAGTCTGCGTTCCTGGGCTAGCTGGCTTCTTATGGTAAGTCCCTGGTTTTTATACCCTTTTCTCCCTTTGTGAGTTGATTTCGTGTGAATGTTTGTATTTGTGCTTAATGTTTCAAATCCTGTTTGAGTTTGTCTTTATTCCCGCCGGAGGGCAAACTCCGCGGGGTGAGGAAGGCAAACTCCGCGGGGTGGTTAGATTGTATTATCGGTTTTTTCTAATCTCTTTTAGCTTTATAATGGGTTTTTTTTTCATATTTGTTTTGTGGCAATCTCCTGTCTGTCTCTTTTGTAATTTATATTTTTTTGTGTCTTTTGTCTGTTTGTTTTGCTTATTTGGTATGTCCTGTGTTTGTAAGAGTTTCCTTTTCTTATTTGTCTAGTTTTCTTAATTACTTAGGCTTTTGTCTATAGGGATTCTTTAATACCTTTTATTTGATTCCTTTTCCTATGTAAGTTTGTTTTATGGCTGGCCTGATGTTCCCCTTGGGCTTTTCCTGTTTGAGTGACACCACTGTCTTCGTGAAGTTCCCTTACCACACTAACTTCCTACAACACTATAAAAAAAAGATGTCGAGACTCCAGAAAGCGTGCAGAGAAGAGGAACCAGGATGATTAAGGAACTGGAGACTAAAACATATGAAGAACGGTTACAGGAACTGGGCATGGCTAGTCTAGTGAAGAGAAGGACCAAGAGAAACACGATAGCAGTTTTCGAATATTTGAGGGGCTGCCATAGAGAGGAAGCGGGTCAAGCTATTCTCCAAAGCACCTGTAGGCCAGACAAGGAACAATGGATGGAAACTGAACAGGGAGGGATTCAACCTGGAAATAAGGAGAAAGCAATCAACCAAAGGAACAGCTTGCCCTCGGAAGTTGTGAGAACTTCATCACTGGAAGTTTTCAAGAAGAGATGGGACTGCCATTTGTCAGAAATGGTGTAGGCCAGTAGTGGGATTCAAACTTTTTTAATACCGTTTCTGTGGGTGTGGCTTGGTAGGCATAGCAGGGGAAGGATACTGTATAATCTCCATTCCCTCCCTGCTTCTGGGGGAAGATTACTGTAAAATCCTGTTCCCACCCCACTAACCTGCTTTCCAGCTCCGTTCTCTTGTGCAGGGCAACAAAAGGAGACCCAGCCAATCAGCTGGGACTCGGGAGGCAGAGAATAAAGGAGGTATTTGTCGGTTCTACTCAAAATTTCTGCTACCAGTTCTCTAGAACTGGTCAGAATCTGCTGAATACCACCTGTAGTGTAGGCCCCATACTGTAGAGTCTCCTGCTTGGGGAGTTCGACTAGATGACCTGGAAGGTCCCTTCCAACTCTGTTAATCGGTTAGTCCTTTGCTTTGGCTTCTCAGGCTGTTTGACATTAAGTATCCCTTTAATCTACTCCAGCCAGATACGAGGGGGGCAGCTATCACCATTTTTTTTGCAGCAAGCCATCCCGGAGAAGACATCACCCTTTTTGACAGCCTCTCCATTTCTGCCCAATTCCAGCCTGTTACCCCAACTTTCAATCAATCTGATTAGAGCTGTAAGGGACCTGGGACGTCTTCTAGTTTTATCCCGTTGCTAAAGCAAGAGACCCCGTGACGTTTCAGACAAGCGACTGTCCAGTCTCCTCTTAAAACCCTCCTGTGATGGAGCACCCACAACTTCTGGTGGCAAGCTGTTCCGCTGGTTAATTGTCCTTGCTGTTAGGAAGTTTCTCCTTTCCCCATGGCCTATTCACCGCAGCCAACTCAACACGGCCAATTCGATTAGAATAAAGCTGGAAGCAGAGGTAGGATGCCCTTATATTAATATCATGGCTGGCTCAGGAATTCTGGGAGTTGAAGTCCACAGGTCGTAGAGGGGCCATAGTTGCCCACCCTGGACAATGGTTAGATAAGAGGCAGTTGAGACTGAAGAAAAAAATGGGGAAGGGATAAATATCTCAATTTCTAAACCTCACTTTAGCTTATTCATGTTCTATTTTGTGGCCCCACCAATTCACAAACAATTATCCAATCTCTTTGTCAAGCCCGAAACTGACATAAGTGTAGCCATTTTAGTTTGTCTTAGTATATATTCTTTTTCTTATTTTCTCTGTGGCAGTAGTGGAGGGAAGGGTTTCTGGCTTGACACATTCCTAAGGAGGGAGGAGTGGAGATAAAGAGAGTGTTTTGGCTAGGTGATTCTTCTTCCCGTGGGAAACGAGCTGTCCTGGCTTGGGCCCCTGGTGGTGGAGATTTATGACATCAAGCAAAGTTGAATTACTTCTATTGGAGAACGTGACTTTTGGGGATTGTTTCTACCTTCTAATATTGTGGGGTAATTCCGGGTTGGGTCAGATCCGGAATTACCACGGACTTTGCCAATTTGATGCTTTCCTAAATAAAAGAAATCTTTTTGAAGGTGGACTTTGTTCTTTTCTTTTAAAATGGATTTCATCACTTGGAAACCTGACGCTCTTCTTTAAAACTTCCAGACTTGGAGTATTCGCAACTTGTTGCGGTTAGCCGGCAACGGGTGCGGACGGCTGAGGAGAGCGAGGACTCAGATGAGGGGCCAGGACCATTAGGGAGTGGACTGCTGCCTTCACAGATTGTGGGGGCTGGCAGCACCTATGAGGTTCCCGAGGAGCCTGTGCCAAGTGCTCATGCACGCAGGATTGCTCATAGGAAAGAGCAGCTGCAACAGCACGGGCGACTCAGGAGTAAGGCTGCAAGGTAATGGCCGCTCCTTCAAGAAGATAAAAGCCAGCTGTGAAACGAACATACTTTGCAGAAGGCAAAGACGTTTTGAAACTCCAGCCTCGTGGACATTCCAGTATCCTGAGTTTGTATTTGAAGATTCTTGTACTGCAATTTTTTTTTGTCTGTTATCTTTTGGCAAGTCTCGCACAGTTTGGCAAGGCTTGTGCTTATCACAGCTAATTATTTTGCAAGGCTTCTGTTCTCTCTAGATTGTGTTTGATTTGTTGGAAAAGGGTGTGGGTCAGAACACAACTTCTGAAGGCAGGCCATTCCACTGATTAATTCTTCTCACTGTCAGGAAATGTCTCCTTAGTTCTGTTGGAAGAATTATCCTTCTGGGTTCAGTTCCAAGTGGAGAAAAAGACACTGGAAACATGGAGGCTGTTTGTAAAGATGGTTTAATGGTGGTCAGGACCACATGGCTTGGAGCTCCAAAGTGAAAAGGATGATCACACGCTTCAAGGTGAAAAGAGAAGGGCAGACCAAGATGCTGAGAGACCCTTATATACCCTCTGTTAGGGCCCCACCTTAGTGTTTCC